GTGGCCCCATAGGGAGCTCCACGGAAGCCCCCAGTGGGTTCGTCCGTATGCGTCCCACACACACACACAATTGTGCATTTTCACACACCCAGTGCAGCGTTTCATGGCACCATGTGGAGCTCCACCGACGGCCTCAGTCCTACCGCCCGCATGCGTTCCCCCCCCAATACAGCGCTTCGTGGCCCCATAGGGAGCTTCACCGAAGAAGATGATCACAATTGCGGCACCCACAGCTGCATATGGTTGGGTCCTTCGCAAGGATAATTGTTCAAAGGTTTTCCACCCTGCATGGGCTGGCCGGAGAACCCCCGAAAAACAACCGAACAACACCCGAGTTGGGTCTTTGTACGGGTTTTTGTTCAGGGGGGGTCGGGGGAGCTTTCAAAATAGCGTTGTTTTTGAATGTGGGGCCCCGAACCCCAACGAACAGATTCCGAAAATCCTCCGAGTTGCGAGGATGTTCAAAAAGGTTTTTCGGTGTGGGGGGGGGGTCGGTTGTGGGGCTCCGGACTCCCCCGGACATAACTTTAAGTTGAAAAACCTCCCAGTTGGACTTTTTGGTCCCCCCTGGAGCCTGGGCTGACCGGAGAACCCCTGAAAACCGCACGGAAACCTTTCGAATTGGGGATTCCCCTTGGGTTTTTCGGAAAGGTTCTGGGGGGGGGTCAGAAACAGTCTTTTCATTGTGGGGTCTTGGACCCCCCCGAACCACACAGAAAATCACACAGATCACAGGAGCCCACCGACGAAGTCAGGAAAAAAACCCGAGTTGAGGGGATTTTCTATGGTTTTCTGGAAGGTCTCCGGAGGGGAGCTCAGAAATAATGATGCTTCCAAATATGAGGACCCGGAAAAAAAAGCGGAAAATTCCCGAATTGGGTTCTTCCAACCGAAATCTTTCGGCAGTGCTTTTGAAGGAATTCAGACCCGGACCCCCTCGACCCCTCCCTCCCCAAAAACTCGAATTGGGGTGTTTTTCTGACGTCTTTCGGGGGAGGTCTTGGTGGGGGGTCCGACGTACTCTTGTTTTTAATCGTGGGGACCCGGAGCCCACCGAAAACCCACCGAAAAACGTCCGAGTTGGGTTTTTTCTTTGATTTGTCCGTTGTTTTTTCAGGGCGGGAGTCCAAAATATATTTGTGTTTCATCGTGGGGCCCCGGACCCTCCCGAAAACCCGCCGAAAAACTGCCGTGTTGGGTTTTTTTGTATGGTTTTTGTTCGGGGTGGTGTCTGGGGGTGATCAGAAATAGTATTGTGTTATATTGTGGGGCCCCAGAACCCTCCGAAAACCGACCGAAAAGCTCAAGACGCAAGTAAACCAACAGAACCTACCAAAAGCCCACGGCAACAAATCCAACGGGGGGGTCCGGGGGGGTTCGGCGAACTGCCACAGGTCCGCTGTGACGCCCGCGCGAGCCTGCTGAGCTCGCCTCTCCTCCTCCTCCTCCTCCTCCTCCTCCTCCTCCTACTCCTCCTGCTCCTCCTCCTCCTCCTCCTCCTCCTCCTCCTCCTCCTCCTCCTCCTCCTCCTCCTCCTCCTTTCCTTCTCTGTGCAAGTCCGGCTGCGCCCTGTTCTGACTGGGCTCGAAGATGCCACAAGAAAAAGAACTGCCACACCCGACTGGGCCTCTGTAGGCGCCCAGCGCATGTCTCAATTCGCGGCAGGCCCGCAGAGGCCTCTGGGAGCCCTTCCTAGCGGCCTCCGCGGACCTTCTGCACGGAGGAGGAGGAGGAGGAGGAGGAGGAGGAGGAGGAGGAGGAGGAGGAGGGAGGAGGGAGGACGGAGGAGGGAGGAGGGAGGAGGGAGGAGGGAGGAGGAGGGAGGAGGACGAGGAGGAGGAGGAGGAGGCCCGCAGAAGCGGCGAACTGCCTCCTGGAAGCCGCCCCCGCGGGCCTCCGATTCGCGGGCCGCAGATCCGAGGGGGCGGGGCGCCAGGGGATATGTTGAAGCTGGTTCACTGCAAACCGTGGGAAAGGCGAGTGTGAGCACCAACGCCTTCTAAAGCACGCTCCTAAAGCATTCCGGAGGGCAACTGTTTTGAACGGTTGCGCCTTGCAGGGGGAGGTGAGTTCTTCCCGGGAAAAGTTGTGCGGACCACATGATCGCAGACAGACATTCCCCGATGTACTTCCAGGAGGGAGAGGATGGGGAGACCGTGCGGAATGGGGGGAGCGCTCGCGCGGGCAGTTGGGAGGCGCAGTTCAGAAAACAAAACAGATGAACAACACAAATCCAAGTTCTCCCTTCCCGAAGAATGGTTTTCCGTCCCGGGTCAAGTTTTCCCATCCTGGGGCCTGGGGGCGTTTGCTCCTTCCCGAGCAAGCCTCTGAGGAGGGAGGAACTCGCCTCACCCTCAACACCAAACTTCCCCTCCTGTTTAACTCTTCCCTCCCTCTTCATCCTCCTCATCCTTCTGCTCCCCCACCATCTCCCGCTCCGCCTCTGCCTGTCCGCTGTCCTCCTCCAACCTCTCCTCATTCTCCTCCTCCTTCCCAACCCTCCTCTTCCCGTCCCTCCACCTTCCTCCTTCCTCCCTCCCCTTGGGGGAACGAACACAGATACCGATACCGCTGCTCCCAGGCCCTCTTCCGGGCAACGTTCTGGCCAGGACTCCGAGACGCATCCAGCCGCGGCGACGAGGGATGGGCAGCGGCATCGTGATGTTTCCCCCCTCCTCCTCCTCCTCCTCCTCCTCTTCTTCTTCTTCTTCTCCTCCTGCTTCTTCTTATTATTCTTTTTCGTCTTCTTCTTCTTATTATTCTTCTTCTTTTTATTATTATTCTTATCATTATTATTATTATTCTTATTCTTCGTCTTCTTCTTATTCGTCTTCTTATTATTATTATTCTCCGTGTTCTTCTTCTTATGTTTATTATTATTATTCTTATTATGCTTCTGCTTCTGCTTCTGTTTCTGCTTCTGCTTCTGCTTATGCTTCTGCTTATGTTTCTGCTTCTGCTTATGTTTATTCTTCTTCTTATTAGTATTCTTCTTCTCCTCCTCCTCCTCCTCCTCCTCCTCCTCCTCCTCCTCCTCCTCCTCCTCCTCCGCCTCCGCCTCCGCCTCCGCCTCCGCCTCCGCCTCCGCCTCCGCCTCCGCCTCCGCCTCCGCTCCGCCTCCGCCTCCGCCTCCGCCTCCGCCTCCGCCTCCGCCTCCGCCTCCGCCTCCGCCTCCGCCTCCGCCTCCGCCTCCTCCTTCCTCCTCCTCCTCCTCCTCCTCCTCCGTCCCTCCCTCCCTCCCTCATCTGGGCGATGGGCCTCCCCATCGTCCTTGCGCGAGGGCGGCGAGCATGCGGGGGCACCTGCCACAGCACGTGCACGGCCTCGGGTTCAGAAAAACGTGCCGGTCTGCGCGCGGTCCTGGCGCCATGACGCGCGGAGCGGCGCGGGTCACTGGGAGTCGCGACGTGTTTCGGGACGGGGTGAAAAAAACACGCGGGTGGGTGGCCTCCGATGTACAGTCGGGCATCTGAAATGAGGAACGTCAATCTCGAAAAAAAACACGCCAACAATACACGCCTATTTTTGGCACATAAAAAAATCAGGGTATACGAGGATATGCGGTTCTTCTTTCAGCGTCTTGACTGTCGCAGGCGAGGCACTTGGGCACCCCCACCTGCCCGTTCGCGCCCAGATGAGGCGATTCGCTCGTTTGGCCCGCCAGACCCCACGCTGAACCCGCGGTGATGCAGATCACCGCCGGTATCCTCTCGGGGAACTGTCAGAAAACTCCCAGGCCCCCCCAACTGGCCTCTCGGGGACCCTCTCAGGACCCTCTCGGGTACCTCTCAGGACCCTCCCCAAGCCCCAGCCGAACTGGACCTCGGCTGAACTGTGCCTTGGAAACTGGCCCCCACTGAACTGGGCCCCCACTGAACTGGGCCCCCGCTGAACTGGGCCCCGGATGAGCTGGGCCCCGGATGAGCCGGGCCACGGCTGACATGGGCCCCGATGCACTGAGGGCCTGGGGCGGCCGAGCGGAGCTGTCTCTGCCTCTGCCCCGGCTGAGTGGGGGCCCCGGACAAGCTTGGCAGTTTTTGTTTTTCGCCCCGACGTGCGAAGGAGAGACGGCCCGCTCGCGGGATCAGAAACCGACGGCAGCCTGGCCGCAGCCCGTCAAAGGGGAGACTGGCGGTCGCCTTTGCCCCCCTCGCCTCTGCGAGGAGGGAGCGCGCAGTCCCACATCCAGGGCTCCTTGCTGCACAAAGGGAAAATCCCACCCCTCTGGCGACCATCAAAATAACATACAGGGCCACCTACGGTAATTCAGCTATGAGGTGCAGTGGTGCCCTGACGACGGCCTACTCTTGGCATTGGCACAAGCACTAGCACATCTCGCGGTGCTCCTCGGCCACTGCGCTCATGAGCTGGACAGGAAAAGCTGAGAAAACCAGGAAGAAGGCAGGAAGAGGTAACCAGGAGAGCGGAATGGGCACGTAGGAGAAACTCACCTTAGGACCAACCTGAAGCATCGCCAGGGGCTCGCCATGGAGTCATTGGGAAGCATCGTTGTCGTCGTCTTCCATGAGGTACTCCTCGATTGGCTCGGCGTACTCTGCATGGCACGATTTGGTCATGCAGCCGATCAGCCCCAGAGGCAAAATCCACACGGCGGCGATGAAAGTAAGTAGCACGCCGAAAGCGGCTGAGAACCACTCCGGCACCTGTGGGAAGATGGTCAGCAATTTATTCACGATGGCGATGAGCAAGAACAGCGGACCATAATAGATAAACGTGAAGAGCTCGACTATGACGCTTCCGCCCTCTTTCGGCGCACAGCAGAGGCGGCCCAGGAGGAAAGAGTTGATCGTGTTGCCGTTGATGCTGCCCCACAGCAGGAACCAGCACAGCGCGACGACGGAGCTGGCGGGTCCTCTGCCCATCTCCTCGCTCAGCTCCTCGAAGGCTGCGACGCACTTCTCGCCGCGGCCGTCGTTCTCGGTGAAGCTCCGAGCGAACGAGATGGCAGGCGAGTCCAAGATCTTCCGGCACTGCTTTGCGCTCTTGGCCTTCATCAGCTCGGGGGCTTCCTGGACGCCAGCCATACGCGCGAGCTCGCCGTGGAGACCAGTGCAATACGGGCAATCGTTCACGCTGTTCACGGTCACCATGATGGCCTCGTTCAGCTGTGGCTTTATCGCGTTTGGGCCAACATAAGCATCGAGGATCTTCGGAATCCGTCTCGCCACCTCAACATGGTCGGCTAAGCAGCGGCAGAGAGATGGCCAGACCTTCTTCCGGAAGCCCATCTTCGCTGCCATGGAACCCGGAGGAGACGTAGCACAGGGGCCTCTGCTGAGATTCCGAGGGCGCTCACGCTGCGCAGAAACCAGCTTGAGCCAAAATGGCTACGGCGGATAAGTTTTGCAATTTTGGGCTTTGGGCTGGGATGATCGGGGCTGCCGCCGCTGGCGGCGAACAGGACCCCAGCTGACCTTGGCAGATGAACTCGGACCCGGGGCGGCCGAGCGGCGCTGCATCTGCGGGCGGCCCAGCCGTGATTTGGGTCGGGCTGGCTCGGAGCTGCCTGGCCCTGGGCACGGCGGGGTTCTCGCCACTTGGGGGCGGCACTGGCCCGAGCTCACCTGGGTTCGAGTTCGGCTGGGGCCCGGCTCAGCGCCTCCACCTTGCCGAGAGGGATTGGATTCGTCCTGAGGGTCCTGCGCCTTGCTGTTTCGCACCTCGATTGCCTGAAGGTTTCGAGGCCCTCGTGTCTCAGGTTAGCTGGACATCTGGGCGTAAGAGTCTTAGGGCCTTGGGGTCTTAGGGCCGTTGGGCCTCAGGGACTGAAGGCCTCAACATCTTAGGGATCCCCCGACGTGGGTCGATGCTCATCCCGACGTGATCGCACGCTCTGCGTCGTCGCCCGCCTGCGACGTGCCGCACCGTGTACGGCGCCCTGCCACGGAGTGGCAGGCCAGCAATGGCCCCGCCAGGCGCCATCTGCCCTGCGGCGCACTGCGCCCTGTACGGCGCCCAGCCCCCGGACTGTAGGCACCCGGCCCCGCGGGGACGTAACCCCTGGAGCCTCGACCCAGCGGCACAATCGGCGCAAGGCCGCCTGCGGACCACTGCCAGGACGATAGGCGCTGGAAGTGCTGTTCGTGTCCCTGATGTGCGAAGCATCTGCGTCTCTAGATCGCCCAGTATCCGAAAAGCTTCGCCTTCCTGCTGATATGTCGTTTGGGAGTCTGGGCCCTCGGGGTCTTCGAGCCTTAGTGCATCAGGGCTTCAGGGTCGTAGGGCCTCAGGGTGTTCGGGCTGTAGGATCTGAGGGCTTTAGAGCCTTAAGGTCTTAGGTTTTTGGGGCACTCGGGCCTTCGGGCCTTCGGGTCGTAGAGCCTCAGGGTCGTAGGACCCTATGGCCTTATGGTCTTAGGACTGAGGAGCTAAGTCCTGAGGATCTCAGGCTCGCAGGGTCTTCGGGCCTGACGGTCTCAGGGCCGTGGGGTCTTAGGGACTAAGGGTCTTATGTCGTTAGGGCATGTGTGGATTCGGGTATGATGGTCTTAGAGTCTTACGCTCTAAAGGTCTGAGGTCCATAAGACCCAGGGTCTTAGGGTCTTAGGCCTTATAGGATCTTGGGGTGTTTTCGTGTCAGGGCGTTGGGGTCGTAGGGTTCTCGGGTATGAGTGCATTGGGGTCTTTGGATCTCAGGATGCCATGGCTCGAAGTTCTTAGGGTATTACGGCCTCAGGGCCCTAGAGCCTTAGTGTATCAGGGTCATTCAGGCCTTGGGGATTCAGTGCTTTACGGCCTCAGTCTTAGCGCTTCAAGGTCTTAAGACGTTCTGGCATTAAGGTCTCAGGGTCTTAGGCTCTTAGGGAAGGTGGTCCGGGCCGTAAAGTCCTTGGTGTCATTGGGTCTTAGGGTTTAGGGGAGCTAGAGGTCTTACGGCTTCAGGGCCTTGAATTCTCAGGGCTGCCGGGACTTAGGGTCTTAGGCTCGTTGCGTCTTAGGTTCTTGACGACCTTGGGTGTTGGGGCCTCTGGACCGTAAGGTCCCGGGGCGCTCGGGCCTCAGAGTCGTGGGCGCTTATGGCCGTAAGGCATCAGAGCCGATAGAGTCTCAGGATCCCTGGGGAATTGAACCCGTTGCGTCGTCGGGGGACGTCGGGTCTTAGTGCCTTGGAGTCGTGGGGTCTTCTCTGAGGGTCGGGTCTGCGCGCCGTTGGGTCGTGGTGCCGCTGGGCCTTAGGGTCTCAGGGCGTTCCGGCCTTAGGGTGTGACCCCCATGAGGCCCCACAGCCGCCCCCAAGAGGCTCCCAGGAAGAGGGCCTCAAGAGGCCTCATCTTCTTTCTCCTCCTCCTTATCCTCTTCCTCCTCCTCCTCCTCCTCCTCCTCCTCCTCCTCCTCCTCCTCTCCCTCCTCCTCTTCAAGCACGGGGCGCGACGCTGATTCACCGTAGGCGTCCTCGATCCGCAGCCGGCTTTCGATTGCACAGGGGTGATTCGCGTGCCAGACTGTCGAGTATCGAAGGCGCCTACGGTGAACCACCACCGCCCCCTCCCTTTTGGAAGCGCCTATGTGGTCAACTGTTGGGCCAACGTCTGACCAAGTTGTTGGACGATGTGATTCACCAAACGTTGTGGAAACCAGTGGAAACACAATTGCGGGAAGAAGACAGGAAGGAGGTAGAAAATGAGGAGGGATGATGATGAGGAGGAGGAGGAGGAGGAGCAGGAGCAGGAGCAGGAGGAGATGGAGGTGGAGAGAGAGGTTGTGGGGGTGGAGGAGGTGGAGACGGAGGAGGCGAGGCGAGGCGCCGGTCAGTCGTCCCGAGGGGGGCGGCACGGCGAGAGCCCGGCGGTGGCGCAGGAGCGCCGAGAAAAAATGCCAGTCGATGGTGGGGGGGGAAAAGGGAGGAGGGGGGACGCAGGCCGTGTTGATGGAGTTTCAAACACAGTCCCCGCACTGGACATGAGCCAAACATTCCCGCCCCAATGTCAACCATGCTTCCTCGTCCGTCGCAATGCGTGTGCACCTTTCGTGGTCGTCGTCACCGTCGTGCGTAGTGACTGTGCGAGCTGTGTGATTTCGGCATCCCATTTTTTTCGCTGTCCTCCGTGGCGTCGTAGGGTTGGTCGTGGGTCGTGGGCGTTCAGGGTCCAATGCAGCGAGAGCCGCGTCCATCTGTCGTAGTCGTGGGCTGCGACGCGCGATGCCCACCGCAACCTCCGTTTGAAGTGTACAGGAGGCCAGTCCTCCACGCCTGCGTACTGAGCATGCTCTCGGGCTGCGTGCGTCGATCTTCGTATGAAGTCTTCCCACGGTTCCAACCCGTCTTTCTCTTCTCTGTCGTCGGCTCTGTCGTGGTGGGTGGGGGCGTCTGCTGCGTCAGTGCCAGCTGCTTTGTTGGTGCCGTCGTCGTTTGCGTGGTTTTGTATCTTGCGATGGCGTGGCAACCCGATTACAAGCCTGAGAGGAGAAAAAGAGAGAGAGAGAGAGATGAGGAGAAGAGGAAGAATCATGAGGGGGGGGAGGAAGAAGAAGGGGCCTCTCAGGGGCCTCTGAAGGGCTTCTAAGGGGGCATATGGATGGCATCTTGGGAGGCCTCGTGGGGGCATCTTGGGGTGCCTCCATGAACGGGCCTCTTGACCTCCCGAAGCCGTGTTGGGGGCCTCACTGGGCCGTCTTCAGGCCTTGTGTGGATGCATATGGGGTCTTATTGTGCCCCCGTTGCGGCCGTCTTGGGGGCCTCGTCAGTTCGATCGCGCCTTCGGCACAGAAGATCCTACGGACGCCGCTTCGACAATAGGGGCCTCCTAAATTTGCTACTGGTCAGTCAGCACGGTCAACCTGAGTCACCGTGAAAAGGGTATTACCACGAATTCATCCGTGTGACCATGTGTATCTGGACGGCATGGGAGCGGCGCAAACATGGTTGGCAGTGTTTGATTCTGCTACTCGGCTACTCATTCTTGAAGTGGCAATTGTTTGAGGTTGGTTGCGTTGAAAAAAAATGGCTGGCATGCAATGACAAAGTGTGGCCACTACAGGGGTACCCCTGGTGAGATCCTGATGAAGGCAACATCGACTAAAGCACCTACATTCTCTCGTGTTACCATTCAAGGGGTATTGTTACACCGTACACCCATGCAATGATTACGACACACACACACACACATGTCCATGGCATGATTACGACAACCATGCATGATTACGACACCCTACACCCATCGCGTCCGGAAAACAGACGATCAGCGGTCAACTTCCACTCAGAAAAAGGAGACCCAGTGAAATGCCGCGCAAGTCCAGAGCGTCTTGAGCCAACATCTTTGCGGAAAACCGAGGTCGGGACTCCGAGGGGGCTGGAAACACGAAGCCAATGTCTGGCCCTCCCTCGGAGGAGGCTCACACAAGAAACACGACAAAAGACAACGGCCCGGTGGGCCGCGAAGAGAGATCAAAGCGATACCCGTGTCGCGCCAGCCCCGGGCAGTCGGATCAGGAGGTTTCTTCCCCTCGACATCCATTCTGTACATCTCGGCTGTACATCCCCTCGACATCCATTACCTATGAAACCTCGTTGTGTACACCTCGGCTGTTCATCCAGGGGAAGGAACGCCATCGGTGTACAGCCTGCGAGCGAGATCCCCTGCACACGCCCACCCCCTTGACATTCACTACCGTAACTGGTGCAGCTGGCGGCGAAGGCGACAAGTTCGTCTGACTTGGTGGGCCCAGGCTGCCAGACGAGCACAAGAGGACAGCACCCACTGCGTGCGAAGCAGCAGCCAGCCTCACGACAGGAAGCGGCTACCATCGCACTCGTGTCTGACTAACCCACACGTCGCCGCGCCGATTGTTCTGCACGCGCTCGACCAGACGAAGCCCGCACCGTGGCAAACCCACGGCGAGCTCTGCGCCCGCGGGCGGCGTCTGCCCTGGTGCCCGCGGCGCCTTCCTCGAGACGGGAGGCCGCGCGTCGGAACAAACGGCGCGGCGACACCTTCGGTGCAGTCGAGGCACTATCAGAAGGAACGCTAAATAAGGAACGAGGCCCCTTCTTGGCCCCGGAAGCGCCCAGGTGCACGAGGAGTGACGGAGGAGGAGACATGGCAGAGCTTCAGGAACAGCGAGCCCCTTCCGCACCCGAGGCGTTCCTCATTTCGGCGTCCTGGCTGTATCCAGACACCCATGACTGATCCAATGGGTGGCCCCAGAGATCCCGACCCCTCCCCCGGGGCCAGCGGTCCGCCCCGGATTCATGCTTGATGGCCGCGGGGCCCGACGACGGGCCCCGCGGGCCCAGATCGAGGAAGAGCGCCAGGCTTGAGAGCATCGGTCTCGATCGGTCTGCCTCCCCCCGTGCCAGCGGGGCTCGTCGTCGATCGGGTCTCGATCGTCTCGAGCGTCCCGCGTCGTCGGGCCCCGCGGCCCCTCGTCGTCGTCGGCAGAGCGATCGCGTGCCCAGACCCACGCGATCGCTATGCCTCCCCCCGTGCCAGCACCGGAGTCGGAGTCCCAAACCAGAGGTCCAGCACTGCAGAACGACACGAGCAAACGAGGGCAACGAGCGTACACGAGGCCCTGCGTGGGATCGGGTCATCCACAGGGTCCACCTGAAGGGGCCAACTGGATCGGCAGGTCTTCGTCCCACGCCAGCCTATTCGCCAGCGTGGCAGTGCGGACCACGGGGCGGGCCGACAAAGAACAGCGGGCCAGGCAAGGGACAGAAACTGGCGGGAGAGCGAGGGGCCGAGGAGCGAGAAACGGAGAGAGAGAGAGAGGGAGAGAGAGAGAGTGAGAGGGAAAGAGAGAGAGAGAGGGAGGGAGGACGACAGGACGCAATGGACTCCTGCACTGTTGACCTCCTCGATCCTTGATTAGCAATGAAAGGACCCCCACTCCTTTCGGAGGCGACCTAAGTTAGGAGGCCAAAAAACATTAGGGATAGGGGCTCTTTCATGCAGATGTATCAAACCAAACCGCCCAGATTCATTATCCCCGATGCAAAGACGGGGACCTCAGTGAGGCCACGTGCTCACTATTATTAGGGTTTGGGTTTCTTTTGTCCACGATGAATCCTCCCTCACTTGAGCAGGGACCGACCATCCCTGTATTCCTACAGGCCTACCACGGAATCTTTTAGAACCCAGAAATGTTCGAAGAACGAAAACAATGTTCTTAGAACAGAAACCCGATGTGTTAAAGCAGGACAGCCCCAGCTAGAAATGTTTCAAGAACACTTCGTGGACACCACAAGAGGCTATTCGAACACTGCTTGGTAGGCCTATAGGCACGCCAGGACGCTTCGCCACTGCTTGACTCACTCCTCAGCGGGCCCAAAGACTTGGACGCCCAGAATGGGTACGGAAAAAATGAGTACAATGCCCAACAACAAATGTTGTCCGAAACCAACAACGGCCGCTGTTGGGCGAGCGGCCTTCTGTCTCTCAAATGGACACAGGCCGCGGCGGCGCGGACAGCGAGTCCTGTTCAAAATGAACAGGAACTGCTCTTGGGCATTGTACCCATTCTTTCCCTACCCCTTTCGGTCGTCCCGAAAAGAAGCCGCCACCATCACCCCCGCCGGCGCCCGGGCAGCGAGGGGGGGCGAGCGGTCAGCACGCTGAACAAGTCGCCCCCAAGGACCAGCTCCAGGATCAGCAGGAACCACCGGCCCTCCTGCCCGGCGGGCGGCGGACACCACCCGCCCTCCCCGTCCGGGCCCCTCCCGCCTCGTCCCCTGAGGCCCGGGCGCTGCCATTGGCCCATCTCGGGCGGCTTCGCCCAGTCTCGGCCCCCAGGGCCATCCCAGCTCGATCCGGCTCGAAAGATGCCGTTGAATGCTAGGATATACGGCTACGGTCGCGATCTCTCGCCAGGTTGCACGCTTCCTCAACGTCGGATCTTTCGAATCCGGGCGAGCAGCCAGCGGCAGACGGAGGGCCAGTGCAGGACGAAGGCGCAGGGAGGGACAGAGAGAAAAAGAGAGAGAAAGAGAGCTAGAACAAACGTAAATAACAAATATCAAACAATACCTGGCCGACACAGGCAACCCTGAATCCAAAAATGTGAACGTGTCGCTTGTACTTCCGCCGCCTTCTGCCGAGCTTCCACAGGCGGACCCGCCGCCGCTTTACTTTCACCAGCTTCCGCCGAAGGCGAAGATGCGCCGAAGGCGAAGCCCTTTCTGCAACGCCCAATATAGCACACAGGTGCTCAGGGGGGCGAAAAAGGGAAAGGAGGGGCGGAAGAAATGGAAGCTGAAGGCGGGGGAGCGGAGGGGGAGAGAGCGCACTCCCCATTGAACGTATGTTCCTCTCGGCCCATGTCTGGCTATATTGACAATAGGCCATACCCTAGATCGCCTAACTCTGCGGGAAGCGCCTCGCGACGCGCCACGCGAGGCTGATGACCTCGCGCTACCGCCTTGGAGAAGCAGAGGACCTCCAGGCTTGCAGGGCAGCGATCGACCCTGGGCGAAATACTCGCGCGAACGTTTGTGAAAGAGGAAGAAAGACAGGGAGGGTTCCACAGGTGGAGTGCCCATCCAGGGGCTGGCAGGCGGCGGGGCCGCCGCCGGGGCCGAACGAGCTCGCGGCACAGCGGCGCCACGGGCCGTCGTGGTCCATGGCGCCACCAGTCCTCTGGGCGCCCTCTCATCGCGCGCCCGCGGGGGCGCGTCGGCCGCGTCGGCCCGTGGCACCGCGGCCGCCAGAGCCCCCGCATGCGGGAGTGGTCGCCCGAGGACCAAATCGTCACTGGAGCGCTTTCCGCCCTTGCCCTTTCCTCCGCCGCCGCGCCCCCGGCGCCCTTGCTGCTGCCGCCGCGCCTCGCGACGCCCCGCTGCTGGCAACAGTACTTAAGCGCAGAGTCAAAGCGGCGGCCGCGCTGTGCACACAGGCGCTTGGGGAGACATCAGGCGCGAGGCGGACCCGGCACTCGTCTCCCCTCGAGTGCCACCCCATGCGGGGGGCGCCGACGGTGTCTCTGCACAGGAGGTAGTCCCCGACCTGCGCCTCCAGAGCCAGCCCCGTGTGCTGGTGTGTCACGTCTGGCCTGGTGGGAGGCAAGGGACATCTGTGTCGGTCAGCTCCAGCGCCCGGGGTTGCGGAGCTGGCCTTTTGCGAATCCCCCAAAACATGGGCGCCGTCGCCTGCGGCCTCATCGGCCGGGCATGCGCGGCCTGCCGGGTCACCCCGATCGGGGCCGGGGTATAGGAGGAGGAGGTAGGGTATGGCACGGTACATCACGATATGGTATGTCATGGTATGGCACGGTACATCACGGTATGGCATGTCACGGTATGGCACGGTACATCACGGTATGGTATGTCATGGTATGTCATGGTGTGGTGCGTATGGTATGGTAGGGTATGGCACGGTACATCACTGTATGGTATGTCATGGCATGGCAGGTGTGGTATGGAATGGTGGGAATGGTACGGTATGGTTCTGGTATGGTATCGCATGGGAGAGGAAGCGAGAGAAGGATTATGGTGAGGATGCTGATGATGATGATCATCATCAGCATCATCATCATGATCCTCGCGGCTGCAGGGGTCAGGAGCTCCTAGCTCGCACTGCCCCTCGGACCGAGGCGTTTCCCTTTGGCCCTGCGGAGGCAACGCCCAGTCTCGCGCGCCTCGGCGCACGCGCGCATATTCGCCTGAGCGCCGAGAGCAATCATCCGCCCCAGCCGAGGCAAGCGGTCGAGTGATCCCAGCATTCAAAGCGACGCAGCACGCTGGGCAGCTAGCACAGATGCACGGCTGCCGACCCAGCGGGCTGGCACGCAGGTCTGCTGCACACCGCGCCTGAGAAGCAGCTAGGCCCCTGGCCCCAGGCTACCCCGACGCGGTCGCTCCTCGAGCCTGCGGAGGTCGAACCAGAGCGCGGGCGGGCGTGCGCCCTCGGGTCGCCCTCCACGCCAGAGCGACGGGCAGGGCATGCTGTCGCGGACTTAAGCGGGCAGAGCGTCAGCAACTACATTGAGCGGAAGCGCGCAAGCACGCCGGAAGAAGCGAGCGCTCGACTACACCTCTCCATCGGCAGCGCAACCCGCCAACGAGCTCCTGACCTCAAACTGGCCTGGTTGCATTGCCAATGGGGTCGGAGCCCGACCCCGAGTGAGGGCGAACCTTCACTCCTGGGTCAGTCTCCGTGATATGAGGGGCGTTCTACGCCAATCGGATGGCGAGCCAGGCAAGACGCGCGTCGAACACGACGCGCTTAGGACAGCACCTCGCCACCAGCATCGGAACACTTCCTAAAGGCCGAGCCTAAACAGGGTGTCGCAGTGCCGCTAGCAACGGAACCCGATCCCATGCGTCGGCAAGCCCACGCAGCTGGTTCAGCTTCCGTTCGAGAGCTGAGCCGTCGCAGGCCGAAAGGGCCGCGGCGATGCACAAACGCGCCGTGCAGCGTAGCGAAAGCCTAACCCCCGGCATCGCAACAGGTCCATTGGCACCTGGCCACTGCTGGACTTCGTTGCATTGCCGAGAGCATCGCGCGGCGGAGCCCGATCCCGTGCGCAAGCGAACCTACGCAACTAGGTCAGTGCCCGCTGAGGACTGCAATCGCGAGAGCAGCCAGAGGCTGCGAGACAAGAAGGGCACAGGACGTGCCGCTTCATGTGGAAGGGCGCCCCGCGCCAGACAGATGGGCGGGCGGGCGCAAAAGTGCGCGTCAGACGACGCGCCGCGACGCACCTCGCCAACAGCATCGCGACGCCCCCCTGAGGCCAGAGGCCTAAACAAGACTGTCGCGGCGCCGCTGGCAACGGAGCCCGACCCCATGTGTAAGTTGACCTACGCACCTGGTTCAGCTTCCACTCCTCGTGGCAGGCCATGCACTAGCACCGAGCTTGCTACAGTAGAGGGTTTCAGAAGGCGGAGAGAGGCGCACGCCGAAGGGACAGGACCGACAGCAACGCAGCGTGTCTCTTGGAACCTGGCCTCTGCTGGACGTAGTTGCATGGTCGCTGGCCTCGGGCCCCGATCCCGTGCATCGGCGAGCCTGCGCGCATGGGTCAGCCCCCGCTTGCGACGGCTGCGCGCGGCAGCAAAAGGCTGCGAGCGAGGCGGCGCCGAGCGCAGCCATGCCACTACAAACACCTAACCAGCAGCATCGCATCCTGTCCTTTGGCACCTGGCCTCCCAGGACTGGTTGCCTTGCCGCTGGCATCAGAGCCCGATTCCGTGAGTCGGCGAACCTAAAAACCTGGTTCAGCTTCCGCAGCGACCTGCGCCAGCTGGAGCGCATGCACCGAGACGGGGCCACGCGCGCGCGGCGGGCGAACGAGGGCTGCAGTAAGCGTCACTGCGACCAAACCGACGGCAGCGCAACGTGCCCCCTAGGCCCTAGGCCCTGGCCCCACCTGGACTGTTGCATTGCCATCGGCCTCGAGCCCGATCCCGCGCGCGAGCGAACTTGCGCGCGCGGTTCGTGCCCGAAGCGGTGAGAATGCTTAGCCGTCTATGCGCCTGCGCAGGCGCCGTAGGGGCTCAGGGTCACCGGTGCTGCCCTGCCCCGCTGGCTGGCGCCCGCGCTCGAGGCGGCCGGGCACCGCCTTCTGCCCGTCGTTCTCGGGGGCCTTCGGGCGCTCCTGCGCGAGGCCCGCCGACCCACGACTCCGCGTCCAGCGGCCGCACTTGACGCGGAAAAGGTGGGCGCCTGCTCGCCGCAGCTCGCGGGTGTCGCGCGCGTCGAGCCCCCGACATGGAGGCAACTCGGGCGGCGGCAGCGGCGCCGGCTGCGCCGCGGGTTGCGCGCGAAGCGCCGAGGCCGCACTGCCGCTGCTAGATGCGGCTCCCGCGGCGCCAGCAGCTCGTCCATCGCCGTCGTCGGCGCCCTGCGCACCGCTGGCCCGGCTGGAGAGCAGCGCTGCGCTCGCGGTGAGGAGCGCCGCGGCCGCTGCGACTGCGCCCGATGCCCCTTCGAATCCCGGCGTCCACGAGCCCGAGATAGCTGCGCCACGTCCTGCGCACTCCTGATAAGCCCAAGCAACGTCGCTGCCGACCTCGAGCCACGCGCCGCGCCGACCGCGCGTCCTCCGCGAGAAGTCGCGGAACGAACAGTGACTCCTCCAGCGCATCCTGCGTCCGCGCCAGTCGCGCCTCGCAGCAGCCATGCCAGGCCCGCCATGTCCGTCCTCTGTCGTCAACTCTGCGTCGCCCCCTTGCACTGCGGCGCCCAGCCAGCGGAATATCTCCTGGACAAGTCGATCTTGGCGCAGGCTGCGCGCCTTGTGGATGAACACGTCGCCGACGCCCACGTCCTCGACCGCCGCCCAGAGGCGCGCCCTTTGCAGGGCCTCTGCCACTGAAGGCACCGCGCCTTGCCCGCGGCGAACCCGTCCAGGAGCAGCTCGCAGTCCGCGTAGATCGCGACTGGAGGCACGCAGTTCTCCAGCCCCTCGATGGCCGCAGCGATCTCCGCAGCGCCCGATAACTGCGGTTAGGGCCAAGGCAGCGGGCCGAAAAGGCTGACGGCCTCGGCGCCCTGCCCCGCGACGACCACCGCCCAGCCGCCGCGCGCAGAGACCAGGCTCGGGTCCACGACGCTGCCGTCCGTGAACAGGTCGCCCATGAGTGGTTGCCCCATGTTGCCCCACCAGGTCGGCTCGACGTTCCTTGCGCGCCGCCCTGTTCCCCCGCTGGCAGAGGGGGGGCCCTCCTGTGC